GGTGCACCATGCCCGTTCTGCCATGATCTCTCTGTCCACTCGCGACAACTGCCATCGACCAGCGACCGCGAGTCACTCAATTGTCTTTCGCGTTCATCGGAATAAAAAGAATGGAAAAAAGCGCGGTCAACCCTTGTCGACACGCCATTCGGGCGCCCTGCCGAGTACTTGCCAATCCATCAAACCCACGCCATTCTCCGCCAAACCCTCGGAGTTACAGCAACAATCCCACCCCGTCACGGAGCGTGCCCTAAAATTGCCCTCCCGTATTGCCGAGCCTGCCGAGTCGTCCTCCGATGTGTCAAAGGCACTGAGCCCGCAACATGAGCCTCTCACTTCTCTCTGCCGCAAGCAGTCTCCCTGGATTAGGTAGAGGCCTGACTGTTCTGAAAACCGATGCCGCCCTCTGGCCTCCATGCGACCGGGACCTGCGTTATCCTCGCCGTGTGGAAGCTCTGTTGGGTCTGCACGGCCCGCCGACCATTGCCTCGGTCTTCGCCGCGAACGATCATCAGTGGAGTAAATTAGGCCCGGCCAACGGAGCAGACTTTAGGAGGGACCGGTGCTCTCTGTTCAATATCCATTACGAGTGCACTGGAAAAAAACGTCATTTCAACTCGTCCTACATCGGCCTCGACCGCGCCCACGAAAAAGCCGTCAATGGTGAAATGGCGTTTGAATTCTCCTTGGGACCCCCCTCGCCATATTCTTTCTCTGTCGCTTCCCCCCTCCTGGAACGCCCCCTGAGCGAGCCTTAGGCTGATCGTGGCCCCCTCGGACTCAAACACCGTCGCCCGCCACCCGTTGCTTTCCATACCCATGCCGCGCAGGCGCATGCAGGACCAACCAATGACTGGCGCCAGCTGCCCCAGGGCGGCTGTCCACATGTAGCCGGTGTGGGTGCCACGACGGCGATACGCAAACTGAGCGCGCCTCTCCCCTCCGGCTGTGCAGTGGAAATGGTCAGTGGCACCTTGCCCATCAACTCAGGTGGCGCCGAAAACAGAGTCACGCTCCGGCATCGCCTCACTTGTCCGCCCCCCTCCCGACGCTAATCGACTCAGCTGCCCGCCCAAAGTCAGGTGTGCGCCATTTTCTCCTCCGGGCTGATCAATACAGCGGCCGTTCGTTGAAGGACGCCCCTTCTCCGTATTGCCGGCCGCCACCCACTTTTCCAATATTGACGGTTGGGTTCTGAGGCGGCCAAGCAAACGGGGTCATGCACAACTGCCTCCGCTGGGTCCGCCGGAAACACTTTGGTTTGTCCCGTTCAACTGTCCGTATTCGAAGCGTCTGGGCACTCCCCGCTCATATCTCGTGCTGGTCATGGTCCCTGTCGTCATGTACGGTGTGGGCTCATTTGACAGGCAATCCGTGGCAGCGCGATGGACAGACAGTTTTCGCAACCACTTTTTATTTCCCCCAACAAAAGGGTCGGTATCGATTGACGGAGCCAGGCCCAGGCATCGAACAAATGCGAGTGCGCGTGTGGGTAATCGACCCTGTCTGTTCTGCAACAAAATGATTCATAACGCAGTGACACCGATGCTTTTTGAGACAAAGATTTATACCCTGAGACCTGATTTCGATTGGCGAGGGCAACGAACAAATAACGGGCTCGGGAGACGCCTCCGGAGCCTATTACTTCCGGGACCCCGAAGCGGGGCACGGGCCAATTAGCCTTGAGTGTCAATCTCACCCCCCAAACATGGTATCGTGTCGGGAGCGCCCCCACTCTTTCTCCTTGACTCGGCACTTCGCTGCCCGGCGATAGTCTCCAAGGCCGTCGCGGAATGACTCAGTGCCGTGATTGTCATGCCGCGACAGCGATGCCGGGGCGTAGTTGGCACGTTCCTAAGCAGCTAAGAATGCACATGTTATCTGGCCATCGGTTGTTTGATGCCCACGCGGGCTCTGTCAAGGTGGTGACGCGGTCTCTTCTCTACAAGGAAATGATGAAGAGTGATCGGCCCAAAGACACTGGCTAGGATCAGCATGCATACATCGACTTTACAGTTATGTTCGCCTCCAAGTGCCATTGCTCACCACATCCAGTCTGCTCATAGCTTATGAGATTCAAGTCCCAACGGACGCCGCCCTTCACAGCGATAGGAGCCATTCCGTTGCGTCGCTGGAACGGCATCAAAGTCGATTCGTCTCTAACAATAGCCACTAGAAGCAACATGGTCATATTGCTGCTGGCTTGCGACCTTCATCTTCTGCCTCAGCTCTGCCGTTCGGCCACCGGATCTTGCAATGGAGATTGATCTTGCTGCTTGGGTGCCAACCCGGTGTGATGAGAAGTGATCACTCAACTGTTTGAGTGAATCCTGTTGAAGGTCTCAATCGGTCATTTGTGTTGAGAAAAAGTCGACAAGCCCAGCTTCTCACCGCTTCTCCGCAGCTCTCTGGATCCCTCCCGTATACACGCGGGAACTACCATCTCAGACACGCGGTGCGCTGGAAGCCGTGACTGAGACGTCATCGATCAGTTGTCCTGACTTGGAGTGTAGGCCACGCATCAGGCGCATCAGGTCTTGTGGCGGATCATGCCGAGATACCCGCCATCTTGGGACGGATCATGCCGAGATACTCGTCATCTTGGGACGGATCACGCCGAGATATCCTGACGAGTACGTCCACTTTATCAACTTTGGGACCGCGCGGTCTTGTATAGTCGACGAGGACTGACGACTTCTACCCATGCATATGATTGAGTGCCCACCCATTACTCACCCTCTCAATGGTCGATGGCATTATTGAGATGAAGAGCTGGATCCGGCGCTGACGTTACGCTCTTCGAGAAGCACGGCTGCCTATTCTTGAGATCAGGGCAACAAAATTGGCGGAATAAAGGGGAAGACTAATGAGGCCGAGCGAGAGGCCAGCTTGATCATACTTGGAACACAATGGGCAGGCTACATCCACGCCTCCCGGGATCTTTTCTATTAACTAGGCGTACCTGCAGACCTCCGAGCGTCCTGGTCGGATTTCTGGGATCTTGAATACACAGGTTCAAGAGTACAGAAAGAATGCGTTCCGGCTATGCATGCTAGTCATCATTTGCCAAAGAGAGAGCCAATGATGATGGTATTTAGTCGCTCGGCGGTTGTGCCGGGCAATACTTCAAGCTATCGATATGCAGTTAATACTGCCATCTGAATAATGGAATGATTGGGCGATTCGGCTTGGTAAAGGCCAGGCCTTGTGCATCCTGGACCTTCGACTCAGACGTAAATACCTATTGATGACGGGCGTCTCAGAATATGTATGGGAAACATCTGGTTCGCGGAACGGAAGTAGGCCATGAATGTATCACGGATGCAACACATGGACCTGATCAAGGCATCCCTTTCACTTGGCTGAATACTACTATCTGACCTATATCGGGAAATCTTAATCATGTGACCTCTAGGATAACCATTACCTATCTCATTCTTCGGTACGTAAATGATATCACATCCGAAGTGGGCGAGAGCTGGTCTGCTCAGAACAAGATTGGCGCATGCGTATTTCAAACAACAGCAAGCCTGCAGCGAGACTCGTGCAAGAGAGAGACTATTCGTAAGGTCATTTCTATTTCCTAGCAAAACAAATGCCCGCTATGATGTGTTCATGTCGAACTTCTATCAATGCCCGCTCGACAGACATGAAGGGGAAATCTACCCATCTCGCTAAGTGTCACGCTACCTTCCGAGCCCGAATTCTCTCCAGCGTCGTCACGACCTGCGTCTTCTTTTCGTCCAGGCTGTTTAAAAGTCCCACAGCGTGCCAAATGCGTTCATGCCAGCTGTCACCAGGGTTAGCGGAATGCCGTCTGCATGCGGAAGAGGCCAACTTACTAGCAAGACAGCCCTGCATCATTTCGTCGTTGCCCTGCTTGTTGGACGTTATGAAGATGACCTCAGCGCCGAAGTTCTTGTAGACGCCTTGCAGGAGCTGCAGGGTATCTGGCCGGCCGCCCCGCTTCTTGGAGTCCCAGAGGATCATGCGATCGGGCTCAATGTGCTTGTGGATGAGACCACTGATCGTAGGCCCGAATGTCTTTTCCTGGTCCGACCCGATCCAGATGAAGAACCTAAACAACATCAGTAAATACAACCATTATGTATCCAGTGAATGGCGCACCAGTTGGGGCTTTGGATGCAAGTCGACAGCGCGGCGCCGATGCCGGTCCCCGTGCAGATTCGGATACCCCTCTTGAACATGGCGGACGCGTGACCGACTCCGGCTGCATCGTGTCAGTACGTGTTGGTGAACAGTCTCGAGCGATGGGCCATACCGAACTTGAGCTCCCTCGTCCACACCGTCTTCGGCGGATCGGCCACGAGGCCTTTCGTAAAGTCGCCCTGCACGCCGCAGATCATGTAGTGGCAGCCCGACTTGCGGCCCTCGCTGATGATGCCGAACGCGTGATACTCCATGATGGAAGTACGGCTGATCCTGCCTAGGAGGCCTTGCTGCATGCCGCGCTCGAACTTGAGGATCGCGACTTTGGGTGACGGCTGTCCGGGGCACACTGTCAGCGTTGCGTCATATCAACCGGCACGACGGAGGCGACTGACAATCTCGACCTCGACAGGAACTTTCCGTAGTGTGATCCAAGGTATGGCAATGCTTGTAGTAGTGTCAGCAGAGCCCAGCAATGGTCATGTGGGGCCGGGGCCCGGAAGCTTACAAGACGGTCATGAAAACAGCAAACCACAGCTCCTGTGCGCTGAGGAGCGAGTGAGCGTCCGACCTCCACTCTCCGCGCTTGATGTCATAGACGTTGCCGAGAATGGTAAAGCACCACGTGGCCTAGGATGTGTTAGCCTTTGCATCGGTGTGCATGATATACTTGCGAGACGTACTGCCAGGCCAAGCCATCCGATGAAGCGATGGTGCCTTTCAAAGGTGTTGTGGTGATTGCTTCGCCCAAGTCAGTAAATCAAAGTACGAGTAGAAGGGCAGTGCGGCAGCGGCAACTCACTTGCGAACCCATGGGAAAGCGCTGAGGATGGAGATGATGACGAGGATACTGGTGATGATGCCTGTGGCGATGACGGCGCCGTGTTGAGAGGCCCGGTGGACAACAATGTCGACAACTTTGTAAACCAGCCAACTGGAGCTCGTCAGTATGGGAAGAACAAGAACCGTGTGAGCGCATTGACTGACGCAGCGCCGGAAAGCGCACAACCAGAGTGTATCCCCCCAACGTGCTGCAGGGCTGATGTTACTGCAATCTTGAAGCGGATCGGTGCCCACTAAACCGTCGAACGTCAGCACCCACTTGTCGACGGAGATTTGGCACTTGGATGTACGTACGCTGCGAAGGCCGTAGATAGAGATGAAGTAGAGAAACCTTAGGAAAAGCTCGTTTCTCATCAACACGGCGGTGAGAAGATTACCAAGCAAGAGAGCGCCGAGATGGTGCTCCGCGTAGGGGAAACGACCAAGTATTGCCAAGATGATGCCGGTCAAGTTGAGAGCCACGATGAAGGTGAAGAACTTTCGATAGGCGCTGAACCAAAGTCGAAAGAGAATCCAGCGACTGGGTTTCGGTCGAGGTTGAACGGTTGTGGTAGGTTTGAAAGCAGGCGGCCCAGGGGCAGGATTCTTGTCCTGGAAATGACAGACTGGTAGCAGAGTCTGCGACAGGGCGGGAAAGCTCGAAGCTGGTGTAATGCCCTCATGGATTGGTGAGACAGGTGACGGGAGGTTCTCGACGGCAATAGGCCTCAGGCCTTTCTCGACGTCGTCGAAAATCTGGCTGTCATTGCTGGGAGTAGTCGCTCCGCTGCCTGACCACTTGACCGTCATTGTGAACTCTACAAAACTGTGCAGAGGGGCAGATTTAACGCGACGTCGTCCTGTGTGGTGATAGTGCAACCCAAGGGTACCACTGCGCCAGAAGACACAGGGTTATAAACTTTGAAGAGAGGCCGTGAAAGATACCTGATCTGGTGGGATGCCAAGAAGAAGCGGAAGTTGTAAATCTCGATCTGGGGTATGATATCACTCTCGGGTGCTTCTAGTCAGCCATCGACTGATCAAGGCTGTTGAGGTTCGATTCGCTTGCTGCGACTGCTTGATCAAGGGGGCCACAACAGTGGAGTGGTGTGCTGAGGATTATTCGTTGGCGATATTGCAAGTATCAGCTGTAACACAGAAGCCCGCCAGGCTTCGTAGGTGTCAAAGGCGTAGTCACGTCAAGGCGTTCGTGTCTCCGCAGGTCTCAGAAGGCCCGATGATCCAAATTGCTCCCCTTGGATACCAAGGCAGAACTTATATTCAAAGTCTGGGCACTCGGAGGGGGACCGACTGGATGGAAAGCCACCTCAGGGTTCTACGGAGCGAAGGGGGGTCCCCATGTTCCTCCGGGAGTGAGACAGGCAAAAAGAATTACGAGCCCTATGTGCCGGGATGTTATGACCCGGTCTGAGTGACGACCAGACCCAGCCTCAGTCGTTGAAGCTAGAAACGTCGGCGACTCTACGGAGCCCTGGGCATGGTGATGTGCGACGAGAACCAAACTATCGATCGCCCAACCATTGCGTATTGGGATAAGCGTTTCCGCTGCAGCCGAGGATACACAGATCTGGGAAGACAACTGCATCGTCGGTTCATTGCGATAACCATCAGGCGCGCTGTGCGAAATCGCCATCCTTGAAGCCACCCCCCTGCCTTTCGCACGCTCTGTGGTGAGAAGTTGCCCACACATCGGAAGGGGGGGGGGGGGTGCGGCTGTAGAGTGGGGGCGGGGGGGGGGGAGGAGCGGGTGGTCGCAAGCCTTCGTAATGCCCTAAAAAGCCTATTTAGGTGAACACGTAGGTAGGTACCCACGAAATACGATGAAAGTTCTCTTGAATGACCTATTAATAGCAAGTAGGTTTTCTTCTGCAACATGTGGAGCTATAGCTTATAGATAACAGATTTATAGTTTACTTTTAGAGCTTACTTAGTATTTAAGCTCCTAGGAAGAAAATATATCCGGTTACTTAAAGTATTTATATATATAGATATATAGTTTGAGTTTTAGCGAAAATATCAATTAAGTTCTTGAAACGATTTATTATCCTTTTCCAAGTTTTATAATCCCTCAGGTACTTAGAACCCTTTGAACTGCCTTTTCAAACCTGAGATACTTAGCCTTTAGTTAAGTAGTGAGGAGAAGACTCCTATGAAAAGAGAGAAAATCTAGATGATGGTCTCTTTCCTCTATAGCACTATACCAAGCAATGAGGATGACTTTTATCACTCTAGTTACTGAGTATAGACTTAGTTTACCACACCTTAAGTTGACGTGCTTAATAAGTTTTCAATCCTCTGGTATCATGAAGCCTAGTGGTCCCTGTGCTATAGTTAACTGTCATTAGCGCCGACGTGGTATTTCGTATCAAGGGGTTCTCGGGACGCCTATAGCAGTGAGGCCGTGAAATACGTCGTTACAGCTCACGCGCTTGTTTGCAATATACGAGCAGACAGGCGACTCGATGACCAGCACCAACCCGGCATGACGCTGCTGCCGGTACCAGACGCCATGTTGATGAACGCGGGGGAGAACGGTCCGATAGCCCATAGGATGGGCTGGCGAAAGTACCTCACCTCGACCAACGGATTCGTCAAAGATCTGCTTACACCCTGACGCGGTGTGCCGAGCCCTATCATGCGGCGCGTCCACGTCCCTGTTTCCTACCAGGCTGTCAGCGTGTCAGGTTCGTCTGTCAGCGACGACCATGGATCGCAGGATTGCTCGGAGCGAGCCGAAGCCTGGAGAGTAACCCAATTGAGCCTGCTCCGGCTAAACAGATCAGTTGTGTCTTCGTCCCGTTGGACCAGTTTGAGTCTTCAGTGTGTGGAGCACTGCCGGGTGGATTCTGTGGGGAGCTATGCGCATGTGCGAGTTAATGTATTTTCCGCTCGCTCGTGCCCTGCTTTATTGCGGCCTTCTTCACATCATCTCGATGGACACTCCGCCATTGCCTCTTCCAGTAGGTCGGAGTCTTTTGTCATCACGTGAAGCGCCACAGATGAGGGACAACCGCGAGGCCCATTTGCTTTGATGAGTACCGGATGGCCCGGGCTTCCTGGCCTTCACAGCATTCACGGTACGCTAAATGAAGGCTTGAGCGCCCCCCCCCCCCGCCCCCCCCTACTGGAGACCCTCCGCTAATGTAGGTACCCTACCTGAGAGGATGGATGGAGTCACATCTTGCTCCCCAGACTTATGATCGTGGAGTCAGAACTGCCAGAATGCCAGATCGCGCCCTAGGCTATCGTATCCCCTGATCTTTTGCCCCATTCGACTGCGCAAGTTCTAGCAGGGCTACCATATCGTCCGTCTGTAGGGCCGACCACTGGGAGCTTCGGCGCCCGAAGAACGACCGAACATGTGCTGAAGGGCAGAATATTACAGCAGATCCGGCCTCAATCCAATGCAGTCGACCAGCCGAGTGCCCTGTCTGTGGCGCCTCTACTCCATGCCCGCTGCCTCTGACGGTCTGAGAGGTCTCGTGACGTAGAACTTCGGCCTGATGACTGCCATGGTGTTGTCGAAATGGTGTTTGCGCGATTATTGCTTACGCGCCCGTTTTTGGTGGCGATGGCTGGGAGAAGGGCGTCCTGGATGGTAACGAGAAGCAAGGTGACGCCATGACCTCTACGCTGCGTCAAAAATTTGCTGGTCTCCGGCTCGAGCTGGTGCCTGTCGATCGTCTTCAATACGACGGCTCACTGTTGGTCTTCAAGGCTGTGCAATGGCTTCGTATCCGGGTACTAGGCCCGTCTTATGATTAAGGGGTAAATAAACCAGGCCAGTCACAGCCCTCCTTCCTCCGAATGTTCAAGACATTGGCGACGCACAGCCGAGCACGCAACGACATGGTGGAAAGTTGGAAGGAAAAAGCAAGGACGTGCTAAGCAACGTCTTAAAGGCAAGCGATAATCGCGGCTACTGTCCAATATTGAGACATACTGGTCGTGACTGACGCTTTATCGATGGCGCAGCGTGTTGGCCTGGCCTGATTGCCTGGTTGACTGTTTGAATACGTGTCAGATCTCATATCACTGAAAGGCTGAAATATGCAACGACGTTTCTATTTTGTATTTTACGAGGCAACAGCCCCAAAGCGCATATGGTCAATAAGGCAGCTTACTTCGGAGTCCTCCGGTGCCGTTCCTCAACAGCGTCTGTAGCGCCCGTCCCAAAACGCTGTCCCCAGTGACTCCAGTAAACTGGCTATCATGAAGATTATCTGAAAGTAGAATTCAATAATAAGCACCTGTTTTATAGACAGATGACAATGTCATGACAGTGACTCGTCTTTGATCTGGGCTATCTATCTACTTCTGACTGGTGACTGACTTCGTTAATGAGTTGTTCATCTGACATATGTTGCCGCAACTGCCGACCTGTCGCACTGAAGTGAGGCTGACTGAGTTCGCTTACTCTGGAGCCTTGGTTTGAAGAAAGTCTCGGGCTTGACTTCAGCGGCGCTGCAAAGATATCGACTGCATTGACATGCTCAGCCCTACTTTCGATAGACCTGGCTATCTCAGATTGGTTCCTTGGCTTCTGATCAATACAAGTCTCAAGCTCAGAAGTATTGACAACTGCTGATATATAGGCTGTACTGTCGAGTCTTCATCTTCTTCCTCTTCCACTGTGCTGGAATATGGAATCCACAGAGACGCTTTACCATGCCTCCCTACCGTCCAAAATCTAGGCCATTCATTCGCCATGGCTTGGAGCATTTTCCAATCTCCCATGGCACGACACAAAGTCTGCCATGCTATACAAACAAAGAGCGGGACTATCAAGAAGAACCTGCCGAGCCACGGATCAGGGGAGTGGCTAAGTCTAGGCACTACAAGAGTGTTTACATTAGGCCTACGGAGGGCCCTCCTGACTACGGAGGCTCAGGATCCCGAAACCATCCCATCCTCCTTAGTAACTATGATTATTACGCATAGAAGGCCTATTTGCTCCGCTCTCCCCCACCCTTTGACGCGAATGTAACTCTTTGGAGAGAAATATAGGAAGATTGACGATCTCTGAAGTGTACTAGGCTACAAAATGGCAGCCTTCGGACATTTCATAGAGAGCCCATGTTGGGCTCCGTGGGACTTCGTATCTGACAGGTTCACCCCGGCGCTGTAGCAAATATAACAGCTCACTTCATATCAACATACACTCATGATGGCGGGAATAGGGAGGGAGGCGTTTCAACCTTAAGTATGTCGCTGATGTAGTCAATCGCAGCCAGCAGAAAGTCCGGAAAGTCAGCACACGGGTGGTCGTGAAAGTCGTCGACCTACACACACACATCATTGGCAATAGACTGTATGTTCAAGTTTTGAAATGGTTTTCTTAGGCACCACCATGCACTATTGGCATGCGATCGCGACTCGTGACGGTGCTGCGGGCCTGACGCCGGACCGCAAAGGGCACGTATGCTTGGCCTTGAACATTGCTATCATAGGAAGCCTTTACGATCACTATTCAAGCATTCTTTCTCGGCTGACGTAAATTAGTGCATTGGAATGGCGATTGTGAGAGGGTCCATTCTTGCGCATCCCACGCAATCTTGAAAATTCAATCCTCACTATCAGACGCTCTCCAGTCGGCCCTCAATCATGAGACATTCATTCGGCTCAAGACCCAGTTTCTTATCGGAAGAGTGGACCAGTTCGTGGGGACTTCACCGTCGTAGGTCTTGTCGCTGGTCACTACCCCGCGCGAGTATCTGGTATGTGATCGGCATGACGTCTTTGTTCAAGATGCGGCACCCAGTCCCTATGAACCAGTGCAGACATAACAACACTGCTCCTAATCTCCCCTTCAGTGCCACATTCTAGGCGAAGAAAACCAAGTCTCGTCTGCAAACATCAAGATGGACGTCAAACGCGATCGGTCGAGTCGAGACGTCGGCCACGAAGGATCAGTCATATCGGCTACTAAGTCAACGAAGAACGAATTTGAAGAAACCCGGAACACCGCTGCCGACTGGGAAGCTTTGCCCATAGACGAACTGGCAGAAAAGGCATTACTAAGAAAGCTCGACCGTTGGATTGTCCCTCCGGTCATGCTTCTATACCTCCTCAGCTTTTTGGACCGTGTCAACATTGGGAATGCTCGGCTGTACGGTTTGGAGGAAGACCTGGGTCTAGAAGGAAACCAGTTCCAAATTGCTGTTTCTGTCCTCTTCGTTACTTACATTTTGTCCGAAACACCCTCGAACCTCGTCATCAAATACTTCACGCCGAGTCGCTACCTTGCCTTTTTGACGGTAAGCTGGGGCATAGTGGCCACCTTGACCGGCATTGTTCAAAATTATGCTGGCTTGCTAGCATGTCGCGTCATTCTGGGTGCCCTTGAGGGTGGCCTATTCCCAGGTAATAAATGGAGGCACTATCAACTCTAAGGGTCTTATTCTAATAACGCAACTCGAAGGCCTGACTATCTACTTAACCATGTTTTATACCAAACGCGAGTACGCTCTCAGGATCGGCTATCTCTTCGTCTCCGCCGCTATCGCTGGATCAATGGGCGGCTTGCTTGCCTACTGCATCGGCCTGATGGACGGCGTTGCCGGCCTGCGTGCTTGGCGTTGGATCATCATCATTGAGGGCATCCCGACTGTCATCCTGGGGGTCACAATATGGTGGTGGCTTGCAGACACGCCAGATACCGCTCACTACCTGTCGACCGCAGAAAAGGATCTCATTGATGCGCGCCTGCGGCGGCAAGTCGGCCACACAAAGTCCGGGGATGAGTTCCACAAGGAAGATGCCATTGCTGGCTTTAAGGACCTCAAGATCTGGCTCTTCTGTCTCGGACAGTTTGGCGGTGACGTGATCCTCTATGGGTGAGCATTATTCAGGATTGGGGTTCTACAATCCTTTTCAATCCGAGCTGATGTGGCCGGCAGGTATTCGACATTCTTGCCTACGATCATCAGTGGTCTTGGCGATTGGGATAGGCAGCAAGTTCAGGCTCTTACAATCCCTTGCTACGCCACTGGTGCCATCACCTACCTCGTTGTGGCGTGGCTATCAGACCGCATGCAAAGACGAGCCATGTTTGCTGTCGTTTCCGGGCTCGTTTGTACTGTGGGGTATGCTATTCTTGTCAGCAACGCATCGGGACGTGCAAAGTACTTCGGTTGCTTCCTTGGCGCGATGGGCCTCTACGTTGTTGTTGGCATCCCGCTCGCCTGGTTGCCTTCGAATAATCCCCGATACGGAAAGCGTACAGTGGCCTCTGGGCTACAGCTTACGATTGGAAACTCGGCCGGCATACCAGCTCCGTTTGTAAGATACTCCGTTGAGATGGACCGTTATGTGGAATTCTGGGCGAAATCGTTCGCTAACCGCGTTTTCTTGCAGCTATATGCTACTTCTGATTCGCCCCGATTCATCAAAGGTCACGCCATCAGCATGGCCTTCGTTTGCATGTCGTCGGTAATATATATGTCATTCTGGGCCTACTTCAGATTCCTCAACAACAAGCGTGACGAGGGAAAGGGAGAGGAGAAAGTAAGAGGCAAAACAGAAGAGGAAATCCGGGAGATGGGGGAATACAATCCGAGATTCCGGTACACGTACTAAACGTGGTCCTTAAGTTTTCTGGGTTCCGATTAGCCTTCAGTGGTTCAGTCACTGAGTTCGAGAGACGTTTCATGACTCGGCTTTGCAGATAACCTTTCTGCTACATTGGAAACGCAGCACTACTGAAGCTGGATGCTACCACCGAAAGGCCATCAATGTCAAAGACATATAGACGCAATGTCTAGTACAGTATCTAGACAAAATATACAGCCTGAACATCGATTGGGACGCGTATCGTGGTTGTTACTGTTACGGTCGGCCCCAAAGGGGCTTAGTGACAGCCCTCACACGGTCGTAAGTGCCATACGGCAGCTATCCAATTGAGCTATAAGGATACGTGTTGAATCAACGTCGTTAATTCAACTGGGCTGCATTCATAGAGGTATAGGCACAGCCTATACTATACCACGGGTATAACCCGTAACAGTTACCTCCTTGCTTGGGCTAAGCCTACATAATTATTTCAAAGCTTTTGTGTGATCCAAATGTCATTTCAAATCATTTCCATAAATTAGTGTCCAGAAAACCGGTCAACCTACCCCCCAGAACAACTACTTGACCCAACCCCCAACCACGACCAATTGAGCTTGACAAGCGAGGTATTAAACAGCGCACATGCGTATCACGCCCCTCAGACCAAAACTGAAGGCATAGATAAAATTTCTACAGTCAAAGCAGATAATCTCCTCCGCGTGCGTTGTCAAACCCCACAGGTCATGGCTTTTACCCCACACAACCCTCGGCCCACGATCCCTCCCCAGACGACCTAGTGCAACTCATGCAACTGCCCCTTGTGATGGCCCCCCTCCAACCCCATCTCGTACACGACAGACTGCTGGGTACCGCCTGGCCCTGCGGCCGCATACGGCTGGCTCATTTGATTGATGTCCTGTTGCTGCTGAAGCCCCTGGTGGCCCTCGTACCCAGGCGATACAGGCGCTGCATACCCTGAGAGCACCGGAGAGACGAATCCGCTCTTGGTCTCGGCCCCGGCGTAGCCGTCACCCTGGGGTGGTGAGCTGGGATAGCCCTGCTGCTGGTACTGCTGCATGGGCGACGTGGGGCCGTGGTCTGCTGCTGCTGCTGATGCCGGCGCAGCGTCAGTCTTTGACGAGGAGCGGCGGCGCACGAGGAAGACGCCGAGGACGAGGAGGACAATGACGGCGACGCCGCCCACTGTTCCGCCGACGATTTCGCCGACGGGCGTGCTGTTTCGCTTCTCTGGGACTGGGGCGGAGGTGGTCGGGTCTGAGCTTGACGTCGACGTGGGCGTGGATCGATCAGAGGTTTGCGATGGAGATGCGGTCGTGGTGTCGCGAGTAGTGCTTTCAGGGTCCGTTGAGAGGGTTTGTGTCTCGAACTGGCGGTCCGTCTGATCGCTGTAGGTGTATTCGACACTCTGAATTGCTGCCACAGGAGTCGGGGCGCACTTGTAGTCTCGGACCCCGCCAGGGAAGGCATATTTGCGGCAATATGGTGCCGAAGCCTCCGTGCTTTAGTATTGAGGCCGTGGTCAGTAGGTCGGCTTAGTTGTTGATAGGCATGGTGGATATTCTTGCTCACCAACGTAGATAAAACGAGTTGCTTTGGCAAACGTCATTACAGACCGCCGTATCAGTGGCGGAATCCCTCTCCAAACATGTTAATCTTGCAGCATCCGTCGCAACTCCGCAGAAAATAGCTTTGATGTCATTCGGCTCCCAGCTACAAGGATTACCATTGTCACAGGTGATGGCATTCCCTGGAGAGCCTGAGAGAAAGCCACAAGTGGCGTCTGGAGCAGCTGTTATGGTAAACTCGGAGGCCGCGGTCACTGCCTGGCGTCTGTTCGCTCCCCGAACATGAGTTGGTGTGGCATGGGCCTTTCTGACCTCTTCGTATGCAGATGTTATGACTGGGGGAGCCGACCGAGCAGTTGCAATTGCAATGAGTACAACCAGAGCAATGATTGCACTCGACCGGAAGTTTTTGATCGACATGACAACGATTATGGTGTTTACGACTTGGTCAGAAGATGCGTATGCTAGCCAAGCGTGGCCCTGGGCGAAGGAAGCAGTCTTAATAAAACGCAGGTCAAAGTCAGGTTCCTGCCGTTCTGGTCTCATGATCCTTGTTCAGAGACAACACGAGCAGCCCTGAGACCTGGCGCCGCTGAGGCGAACCGCTATCTACCGCATCGTCAGTGCGATTGGAGATGCTTTTTCGGTGGCTGGCAGCAGCTGAATAGACCGTCAGCACTGGTTGAGTGGTCGGAGAGTTGATCATGAGCGCCAGCGTGAGCTAGTCGTATCGCCTTGATCTAGAATCCTCCTAGACTCAAACTTTGATGAACTTTTCACAGACGACCCAGCAATCTCTGTAATGTTCGAAATTCCGCCTTCGCGTGCAAACAACCTTCTAACTAAGCCTGGGCAAATAAACCGCGTTGAACAGCGTCTGACGGATAGGGATATTCACCAATATGATTCTCTCTCGTGGTGGGAGGTCCATGGTCGACCAACGTCAATATTACGGGTATGAAAGGCGGGAACCTCCCTTAAGATGAAATTGACCATATGAGAGGGGAGGATCCTTTTCTGACATTCTTTCCAGGGGAGAGCGGGACCGAGCAAAGAAAAGCAAGTGTCTATCGAAAATGTGCGGCTGACGGTCACACAGTGTTTGACTCAAATGGGAGAATAGGCAGAGGCCAGCCCAGGCATATAATGATTGTAAACCCACGTGTTCTCACATACCGATATTTTAGTCCAGCAGTTTGACGTTCAGGGGTCGGGCTGAACCGTGTCAAGGCTGGGGCGCGCCTACGCCTAAGAGACTTGAGCTCATCACGGACAGACACCTATGGCATTTCGCATACTCCCAACGATTGACTAATTTACACTGTAGGCTGTCATACCTCAAAAAAGAACAACGAGTACTTAAGTTTATTAGCGACTTCATTCACATTCGTGTACATTGATGCTCCCAGATGCTCTGAGAGTCATTGCGGCTCTGTCTGCCGTCACGCAGTCCTCAAGTTTGCGAAATAATACTTACGTCTGACAGATATATGATTGATCGAGTTTTACAAATCAAGGCTTTCTTAACCGACTTCCTAGGGGATCTCAGAGTCTCAGCAGGCGAGGCGACTCAACAACCACCACCATCACCACCCCCTCCGCCTCCGCCTCCTCCACCGCCGCCGTCGCCGCCTGAACCTCCACCACCCCCATCGCCGCCATAGGACCCGCCTCCTCCGTACCCGTAATTGTCCGAACGATAGCGTTTCGGACTATGCCTGGTGTAGGCAGGACCTGTGTACTTGGCGGATGTCCTGTTGTACGACCATTCCGCGACTGCGCTGTTTGTGCTCGCCGGCCCGCCATGAACTGCGTTGTGCTTGGTGAGTACCGCAGGGGTAAGGTCGCGATGCAAGACGTTGGAGGTTTGCTCGACGGGGGCAGGGGCCTGCTTCTTGCGGCGGAAGGACGGGAGACACATTCTGTCAGGCCCTGGCGCTTGGGTGCACCGGGCTATTGGGGTGGCTTTTGTGGCGGCGCCCTGGCGGTGATGAGGCTGATTATCCCCAGAGGATGAGAACTGTGGTTCGTCTCCGACGTGACGTGAATGATGAATACAGGGTACGAGTTGCTTGATGCTAATGATGATGCTTGACGACGTTGGAAAGATAGATGGCAATAGTGATGATGGTGGAGAGCATGATGAGGTCTCAAGTTGCTACCTTTTGTATCTGCGATGTTCCCCATGGTTTGCTCCTGTAATCCGCCTCATGTCCATGGTGTTTCTCAGCAAGGCATTTTCGAGACAGCTTGCCAAAGCCGGCAGAGCGGCATCTTCAACGCCTCGTTAAACAGATTAAGTGCCGCATCAGAATCCATTGTGGCTTGCCAAGCATAGCGAAGAAGGTGCACTCTGGGCGGGCGACCGACGTCGGCTATCCTTCGAGAAGGCCTGTTGTAGCAGCTTCCTGGTCACTTGACCACCGAAAAGAAGGCGGCATTGGTGGTTCCTGTCAGCCGCAGGCGAGATCCGACGCTGTAGCCAGGTCACGATGGCAGCTAGGTGGATGCTGAGGTGCACTGCCGGTTTCCTGATAAGGCCCCATGTCACCTGGAAGAGACGCTGTCGGCCTGGTTTATGGGGCGCCCTGAGCTGCGCGATATTTGGGCTACTGGGGATCGTCACTCAGTTTACCGAGCAGGCTGTGCTAAATATTAGGCGAGCGATGACTTTCTCTGGCTTAGTGTGGCTTCGGACAGGACAAAATGGTCGGATCCGACATGGGCTTAGAGACGGTGGCTGGCAGTTCAACCTTGAATAGCCGGCCAGCAGGGCATCTTCCAATGGCTGGTGGGCCATCCTGAGTCGCTGGGAATAGGGCGATTGTCTGCTCTGAACTATCAATTTTTCATTCCTTTGCCCTATTTGCACACAAGGTCATTGAGCCAATTGAGGACGAATGCAGCGAGGCTTCAGGATTGTCAGCTGTAAGAAGCCGCGTGTTGTTCGGAGGATGTTACTACGAGTGAGCGACGATCGTCGTGTCTGGTCAGAACGAAACCAACGCTTCAATACAAATGATCAGGCTGATTTAGCCTGTCAAAAGATCGGGCGTGGTGTCAGGTATGAGGCTGAGTGCAGGTGTTTGTTTCCTTACCCTACAACGGTCTCGTGAGCACTCATTGGGTGCCCGAGTTGCTATAGAATCACAGGTCGCTTTGGAGAAGCACAACAGGCGCCAACCACTGGCAGCTCAAACAGGAAACATGATCTCGTGATGGCTCGAGCCCAAGCAACACGACCATCGAGCACATTTCCCCCGCACTCGGTTTTCACTCCCTGTCAACCTTGACTTTCCATGAAGACAACTCGATCCATGCACTTTGTTTCGAAGCCATTTTCGTCTGGGACGTCTTCCTAAGATGGTGGTGCCTGGATGATTCCATTCGGCATCCTCCGTCGACAGACCAGTGTCGTCGTATCCCCTCACCAAATGGCATCCATCGAGGCCTTCACGTTTCCTTGCGGCCATTCGTACACCCAATGCTACGGCTAGACAGTGACCAGAGGCGGCGATATGTAACCCTGCATCCACGCGACTCCAGACGAACGAAATCACAATCAAGCATCTAAACCCCGAGCCGTTGCACACGTTGCCGCGCTCCATCCAACGATTGGCCGTCTTCCATCACTGGATTCTGTTGGAGGTCAAGGGTCTGAGAAGAAGAAAGGAAGGTGTATTGGGAAGCTATTCTCTAGGGCAGGAGGGTGCCTGGAACTAAGCTATAGGAGGTGCCAGGGCATAGGCCACCTGGCATCAGGTGACCGCTGGAAGCCCTAGGCGAATACTACTAACACCCCCCTATAGGCACTATCCAAGGCGTAGCAGCTATCAGGTCTGCTAGAGTCCCCGTGGGCACCTCGTAATAGGCCTCTTTCCTATTCCTAGTACTCTAAAAATACAATCTCCTAGATTAACGAATAAAGGAATTAAAGATAGCGTTCTCGTTCTAGTAGATTAATAATATTAAACTACTAGGAGCGGAGGTTCGATTCGCTGATTAAGCGGTCGATTCGGGTATAGAGCTAAGGACGAGCTATTATAGCTTAATATTATCGAGTAGTTAATAGGAATAACGTTTATTATAAAAGAGTAATTTAAAGTAGAGTTTTCTATTAAATAATACTTAAAGAATAGTTTAAGGTAGAGTTTTCTATTAAATAATACTTAAAGAGAGTTTTAAATAGAGTTTTCTATTAAATAATACTTAAAGAGAGTTTTAAATAGAGTTTTCTATTAAATAATACTTAAAGAGAGTTTTAAATAGAGTTTTCTATTAAATAATACTTAAAATTAGAGCTAAGGACGAGCTATTATAGCTTAATATCGTCGAGTAATTTAGTAGGAATAACGTTTATCGTAAAAGAGTAATTTAAAATAGAGTTTTCTATTAAATAATACTTAAGGAATAGTTTTAAGTAAAGTTTTCTACTAAATAATACTTAAGGAGTAGTTTAAGGTAGAGTTTTCTACTAAATAATACTTAAAGAGTAGTTTAAAGTAGAGTTTTCTATTAAATAATACTTAATCGATTTAGGTATAGAGCTAAGGACGAGCTATTATAGCTTAATATCGTCGAGTAATTTAATAGGAATAACGTTTATCGTAAAAGAGTAAACCTTACTTAAAATAGACGATAGTAATACTATTAAATAGAGGAAATAAAGCTATTAATAATAATATAAAAATCATAATATTAACGATACTACGTAGTACGTAAAAGGTAATACGCGTAAAAGGGCGTATAACCTATTAAAGGTTGAGGGTCTAAGAAGAAGAAAGGAGTATATATTAGGAAGCTATTCTCTAGGGCAGGAGGGTGCCTGGAACTAAGCTATAGGAGGTGCCAGGGCACAGGCCACCGGGCATCAGGTGACTGCTGGAAGCCCCAGGCGAATACCACCAACAGATTCAAGTCCAGGACCCAACGGCCAAGGCGCCACGATGGATCTCGACGCACAAGTAACCCATCGGAGTGGATGATGGCACGTCAACTCGATCATCTACTTCGACAATCACGGCACACGTGGTCGGTGTCACTTGAGAGTAGCCTCTGTATGCATTAAGAAATGGGCTTCTACGACAGCTGGTATAAGCTCGGCCTCCCCCCAAGCTTGCTGTAGCCTTCGGGTCGTGTCAGCGCGCCATCAATCGCCGTCAGTCAACATGTGGCGCATAGCAGTTGCGTCCGTTGCGTTGCCAGTTGCTTGCCTCGCCCTTCGGGACGTCACTGGGCCTACGCGTCCGCTGGCTTTCGGGCCAGACGGCACCTTTCAAATCTCCATCTTGGATGACCTTCACTATGGAGAGGGTGAGGAAGCTTCCACACCAGTCGCAGACCCGCAATCTAACAATATCCAGCGGCCAGCTCGTACGGACCAATCCAGGACGCTCTCACAACGAAGACGATCGCCAACCTCCTCGCTGATGAGCCACAAACCGACTTCGTCGTCATCAATGGCGACCTCATCTCCCGCGACAACATCTTTTTCGATAACACGACCCACTACATCGACCAGCTCGTCCAGCCTATTCTCGACCGCAACTTAACGTGGGCCACCCTCCATGGCAACCATGATCCGGGCTACAATCGCTCTGTTGAGGCCATGCTCGCCCGTGAACAGCGCTGGCCCAATTCCCGCACCCGCTCAATGGTGCCTGACCCTCAGCGCGTCGGCGTCACCAACTATTACCTCCCCATCTACCCAGTCGACTGCCCCACGGGCTGCGGCTGCGCCCCCGCGCTTCTACTGTGGTTCTTCGATTCACGAAGTGGCTTTGAGTACCAGAAGCTCGGGCCTGACGGGAAGAGGATCGCGCGCCCCAATTGGGTTGATGCCGATGTGGTTGACTGGTTCCTCGCCGAGAACCAACGCATCGTCACGAAATTCAACAAGACCATCCCGTCCCTGAGTTTCGTCCACATTCCCTTCGACGCCTTTTCTGCCGTGCAGGCCGGTCCCGGGATCGATCCGCAGCGACAGCCGGGGATCAACGACATGGTCGTCACAGGCCAGGCGATCGGGTACTGTCCCGACGGCGTCAACAACGGCACCTGCGCGTACGGCGGACAGGACATACCCTTCATGAAGGCCGTCACGTCGACGCCGGGCATGCTGAGCCTCTTCACTGCGCACCAACACGGTGACTCGTGGTGTTACAAGTGGACGGCGGACGCGCTTCCGGACTACCCCGTGCAGCCCGAGGGTGGCGGGCTTAACATCTGCTTCGGCCAGCGGACGGGCTACGGCGGCAACGGAAACTGGGAGCGCGGGTCGCGGCAGGTGCTGCTGCGGCAGAACCAGTTGGCCCTGGGCGAGCTCGAGACATGGATCCGGCTCGAGTCTGGAGAGGTCGTTGGGGCCGTTTCGCTGAATGGAACGTATGGCCAGGATATTTATCCTGTGTCGCCCAACCGCGAGACGTTCTGTCGGGAATGTAATAAATGAATTCCCACATTCGTATGTGGCTTTTAGTGAGGACACTCGGGGAGCAATGGCTTTATTACATTGTAATCATGACATGTAACCTGAAGAAGTCGCAACATGATAGAATAAAAGACTGAGGTCATTTTCACGCACACCGACACACAGCAAGAATCTCGAGCCGAGCCGCCACCTTGTTCACACGAGGTTGTCAGAAAGGACCAGTTGCCGGCCTACAGCCACCCATTCTCCCACTGGTAGTCTTCGTCCCAGAAGGCATCATGAAAGAACTGTTCGGCAGATGCGAGCTCGAGGGGTTGCCCGTCTCCGCCAGCACCCCCGACCGTGACTGCGACACTCAAGTTCTTGGTCGACGATCCAAAATTTTGCCCAGTCATCCCAGATGTCCCCCTCCCAGTCTTGTCACTGTGCGTCTCCGACCCATAGTAACCAGAATCTTTTCGTGGAACTAGCTTGATAAGCTCTTCATTGGTGGGTTTGGGAATTGAAAAAAAATCGAGGCTCTCCATCGACGAAGTCGAGCCCCTCGAGTCCCCGAGAGTGCCGTGTCGGTCATTATCGCCATCGGGGGCGCGGAGACCTGCCATGGGCGTCTCAGGTGCTGGTGGTTGGTACCGTGCCAAAATCTGGTGTTTGTCTGGTGCACGTCACACAATGTTAGTTAGGCTGCTAAAGGTGATGTGATCTTGCTGGCAGTGGTTGTGTGAGAGAGAGGAAAAGAGACTTACACATGCTCCCTGGAATGTCGTGCCCTGGCCATAGAGCCTGACAGATAGCCAAGTACTGTACAATAAAATTGCAATGGTTCTGACGTGCCTTGCGGAAATCGACCCGAGTGAAGCTGTCATCCTGCTCCCAAGTCATAATCGGAGGGTGAAATCCAGGTTTCGTCCCGTCTGTACATGGCTCATCCTCTTTCGTAAAGCAGCTCTGTTGCTCCTCTGACTTGATTCTCTCACCGCAGTCTGGGCAATTGAAACGGCGGCTATGATGACGTTTGAGGTGCTCCCTAGTCCTTGGTCAGTATAAGAGTTTTCATTCTGTGCTGTGTATCCATCGGGAATGATTACTTCAACCCCGATATATCCTTGAAGGCTCTCTGCACGCACGGGCTTCCCATGGCTCCTCTTGTAGATAAGTAATGCTGCGGGTCGAAAGCAACAAAGGGGCAAAGGAAGGCTTCGGCGGTGGGTGGGGACACCGGCGGGTGAACTATCGGCGCTGCGACTCCAGGGCGGGGGAGCAGCCGGGGAGCACGCCTGCCCCCGGAGCGTCCATGGGCATCAGCCATGGCTGGTTAGGTTATTGTCTTCCGACTTCCCAGGTGGAAGTGAGTCTCGGAAGCCAGTTGTCAACGAATGGACCTTGCGATTATCTCACAGATCCTGGCACAGTTCTCCTTGCGTGTCTGTAATCGCTTGCAGCCACTGGCTTCCAGTGCGGTGTCTAAGAACAGTAATTCGTTGACAGCGGAGGACTGCTGGGTGAGGAGCCAGCTCCCGAGCATGAAAGAACGGGCGGGCGGCTTGGTAGTGCCAATGTCTGTTGGTTCGCTGTTGTCTTGTTAGTGACCGGCCGGGCAGCTGGCCGGCTCCAAGGCGGAGGTACATCGACAGTAGAGAGGTGCACTCACTCTACACCACAGTCGCTCATGGCAAGCAAAGAAAGGCTGATTGAGCTTGCGGTAGATGAAAACCTGTTCGATTCTGAGACGGACCAGGATACGGAAGGAAGATGGCCCAGCAGCATGAGTTTCCTGAGTTGGCAAAATTTATAGGTACCGACCTCGTCCCCAAATTTGCGGTGCGATTTCCCAGCCTGCCCTACTGGTTCATTGTTGATGCAGTGATGCTGTCTGCCTGGGATGCTGTCTAGTCCAAGGCGCAAGAGGGACGATCCGGGCCTATCGTCGCGTCGAATTGCCTTTTTCTCTGTTGCCAACGAGCTAGCGTCAGCGATAGTTGGTATCCTTTCTAGGTAGTTTGGTTGGTCTTGATCTATGAGTAAAATCGCACACGCCTAGCTTGTGATGCTACCTATACGTAGTATACCGAGCGTTGCCGTTCAGATTAACTGGCCTAATAGTGCGGAACAAGGCCTGTCACGATTTCACTGTCCACTTGGTGTCACAGTCGGATTGCATGCATGAATGCCTAACGGCCAATGCGAAAGCTCTACAGTTCTTCAATTTCCCGCTATCTTCCTTTCGCCCCTATAAAAATGGCTCTGCGTGTTGGTTCTCAGCCAGGTCTGCATCGGGGGTGAGTCTGTTAAAATATTCATCCCATTCTGCCTCTGTGCAGCTCCTCGATCCATTGTCGACCAAGTCATTGTTGGCAGGTTCGTCATCCATGATCTGTTCGTCATCGAGATCCTGCGGGTACCCGGTATTCATGCCCTCAATCGCCGTCGCCGAGTCCAAAATCGAGTGGTCGCTGAATATACTCCCCACTCCTTGCGTAAACGCATTCATGGATGCATCCTCTTGCTGCAGGTGCTGTTGACCTGGCTGTGGCTCTGAGCGCGAGGTGGCCAGCTTCCTCATGCCCCTGGGGATTCCTTCACTGCCACCGTAGCCAGAGTCCAACAAAGGGTGTTTCTGGATACTCTCTTCTGGAGGTTGATAAACGTCTTGTCGAAGCAGGGCTGGTAAAGCGGATGGCGCTAGCGGTCTCATGCCGGACAGTGTTTGGTGCCCATCCCAGCGATCCAGGGGTATCGACAGGGTCTGACGGGGCTCTGGGGTATCGCCCTCCCACGGCCAGATGGATCGGTGGATGATTTCGACCTCGGTCCTGAAACTCATGCCAGCTGTCGCCACATACATTTGTCCATTCCATACGAACTTTTTGCGGAAGTCCACTCTGGAGTATCGTTCGTCCTGTTCGGGAGTCATAATGTGCCGGTGGAAGGATGTGATGGGGCCGCCATTCTTCTGGCACGCATACCCGGTGCGATGGGCCTCGATAAAGTCAGTGGTATCTCGACCCGCGCAGCGAGCTTGACACTTCACACAGTTATAACTTGGCGAGTGGCCTCTCTTCAGGTGATCGCTGCATCTATTGTTAGCCAATATTCGCACATGCTGCCAGGCATACCACCAACCGCAGAAGTCCTATCTTGTAGAAAGGTTGCTTGCATGCCCTAAAAGGCTGGGCTGTAGCCATGTCGTAGAGCTCTCGGAACTCATCTGCGAATATGCAGCGGTACCATTCGCCCTCCATGGCGTCAAGATTGCCGGCGGGACACTCCTTGTGGTGAAGGTACTGTAACCCCACCACGTCCGTCTGAAAGGAGCTTGCCCTGTATTGTTGATCGGGTCAGGGGCCACGTAGATGGTCGCGCTCCGCCAGGGTCGACCCTCGATTCGGTGAATTCTAGCCTCGGTTGATGACACTGTTGAAGCTCTCAATTATCTGTCTCGACTTGTCGCAGTAAGTCTGCTTCTCGGGACCGTCTTCCGCTTTATTGTATCCGACTGCAAGTCGATCATTCACGCACAGGGACTCCTTTGGTATCTCCAGCCAACTGCCCAGCATGAACGAGCTGACACGCGGTATCGTGGCCTCCTCTGTATACGAAATGTTACTGAGCAAATCTCAGTTCTTTTTCTCGCGTGTTGATGACTTGTTCGGTCTTACGCCGTATCATTCCCTCCGTACATGGGTGTAAGTCAAGGACGAGAGTGATGGTTTGTAAATGCCTGACTTGGCAACGCTGAGCGGTAGAGGATGGATGAAGGGAGTGAGGAAGACGATGAATGAAATTCAAGGCGAAGATTGAGAAGCGGGAGCAAGTTCTGGCGCTTTTAAGTCCATTTTCCCGCCGACTCTTCCTCGCCCGTCTCTGTTCGGTGCGAGCTCTGAAGCACAACCACCGAGATCGTGAGGGACACATCGCGAATGGTGTCCCACGCCCGCCCCCCATATCGCAAGTGCTTCACACCAAATCGCTGCCCGATTGACCTCGTCCTTGGCCCAAAGGCACATGCGCCCCCTCGTCTCTCCAAGGTAAAAGAAGGTACCTGATGCGTGAAGCAGACGTACCCAGACTGAACCGGTGCCCGGAGGGCTGCTCACGCAGCATCCCCCAAGCCCATGATGGGCGTCATTCTTGCTTCCTACAAGCCGCCCAGCTGTGATGGATGGCGTTGGGACGCAACCCGACGTCGAGCAGTCCGGCGCCTCACCGCTGACGGCTTTCTGCAGAACCACTCGACGCTGAGCAAGGCGATCGACGATGCATGGTACGTTTAAGACGGATGGCTAGCCTTTACACAGCCACGGCCATCAGGAGCGTGTGCAGACACACCAAGTCACTAGGAGGTATCGTGAAGGCGTCGTTTCATTGCAAATCATGCCCGATACGTCGCGGCCAGATCTTGTGCCGCCGTGCCACATGTACCACGCACTCAGCAGCAGAAAATGCACAGCGTCCGGCCAGCGGCTCGTTCACCCGCTCACCCGCTCCTCCCGTTCCCCTGCCCTGCCACACTCCCTACTCGCGATGCACAGCGCTCTTCTCCTGGTGGCCCGTCTCCTCATCGCCCAGCACCCTCTCGCGCCCCGCGCCGCCAATGGTCTCCATGCCGGCGACCTCGCGCGCATCGTCGTCGTCCTCGACGTCAAAGCTCCGGCGCAGGCGCTCGGGTCCCAGGATGGTCAGCACAATGACATAGGCGAAGACGCAGCCCATGAAGATGCAAATGACGCGGCCGTAGTCGTAGCGCGTCTCGCCCTTGGCCGTGGGCGCCAGGGGAAAGTTCTCGCCGAGGCGCGACTCGATGGTCGAGCTGGCGCTCGACGCGAGGTTGCCGAGCTGGTAGGCCGTGCCGACGACAAAGGTCCGGAAGGCGCCGGGGCTGAGCTCCATGAGGTGGATGGGGATGACGCCCCAGGCGCCCTGGACGGCGAACTGCATGAAGAAGGCGGCGGCCATGACGCGCGGGTTCGAGACAAAGGTGTAGGGGTACAGCATGGCGCCGCCCATGACGCAGCAGCAGAGGATGCTGAAGCGGCGGCCGAAGATCTGCGAGCAGTAGCCCACGGTGCTGCCGCCGAGCATGGCGCCGAGATTGGCCACGACCTGGGTGACGGTGACGAGGTCCGCCGAGAACTCAAACTGGTTCCTGAGCATGGTCGGGTACAGGTCCTGCGAGCCGTGAGACATGAAGTTGAAGCCGGCCATGAGGAGCACGAGGTAGCTGAGGACCTTCCAGTGACGGACCAGCGCGACCTTGCCCTCCTGGAGGAAGGTCGACGTCACAGACCGGTGCGGGGAGCCGTCGGCGCTGGCTGCGGCCTCGTGCTGGTGGGCGGCGTGTTCGCGCAGGCGCTTGTGGGCGAGAAACGTCTGCGTCTCGGGCAGCATGAGTCGCCACATGATGAACAGCACAGGCGGGCAGGCTCCGAACCAGAAGAGCGGGCGCCAACCGTGAGGCGTCGTGTCGACGAGGCCCCTGGCAAAGGCTGTAGCGAGCAGGTATCCAAAGGCGTACTGCGTGAGGCACGTACGTGTCAGCGAGGCAAACAATGTTGGGCAGCAGAGGAGCGCGGACTGACACCTTGTTGTAGGATACCGCTCATGAGGCCGCGGGCCGCTTCAGGGACATCCTCCAGCGCCGTGGCAGCCGCATTACCGTAGAGGCCGCCCATGGCGACGCCAAACAGCGCACGGCATACCAGGAATTGCCGATACGTCTGGCAGAAGCCGGTTCCCTACCATCGCAAGTCAGCATGAAACTTCACCGCAACAACTTTCGACGTTGTGATGAGGCTGATTTCCACCCCCCCGGTACGAGCCCCCAGTGACGGAACCAGGGCCATATTATAGGGCGATGGCGTGCAGCAAAGCCCCCCTCTCCCCCGCGATCCATCGCGTGCCATGTTCAGACGAACAGGCGGCCGAGGGCGGCGCCTCTTCTCTTGGTGCCCAACGATCCTTCGACCCAACCCAATGCATGCCATGGGTTCTCGCTGCCAAAGCGGTGTAAGGGAAAGACAACTCACCAGCTCAAGAACGACGAATAGCAGGTTATTGACGACAAACGGCCACTTGCGACCGTATCGATCTGCGGCGATACCAAAGATGACGGAGCCCACAGAACGGAACATGAGCACCAGCGTGATGCCCCACGTGATGTCCGTCTTCGTCTTGCCAAACTCCTTGGCCAGTTGCGTAACGGTCAGGGAAACGGTGAAGAAGTCGAAAGCATCCCACGTCTGTCGTCGTGTAATGGCGTCAGTTCCATTGGTTTACAGCCCGTACGATGCCGTTTGTACGGTCACGACGAACAGCGCTGCACCGCCAAAGAGAAAGGAACATGGTAAACATACCCAGGCGGCAAAGGCCACGCCGAAAAAGGCCCATTGGTGGCGGTTCAGCATCCTCACAAGACGCCAGGGGTTCGGCGCCGCCAGCATCGGCGGCTTCAAGGTGCTGAACCGGGTCGCGAGGTAGCGGCCGGCCGTCATGTCGGCATGCGATGCCTTGGCTTCGCTGACCCTGGGCTGCGGATCGGGGTCGACGCCCATATTCTCGTGTGCTGCCATTTTGCTTCTGGATCTCAACGTGCCTCGACTCACTAGCAAGGGGAAAGGGATCAGTCGTGGAAGCTCTGAGGCACCAAACCGCTCAAGAGGCCCAGGATCAAGGCGGCGGCCAGCTCTGATATAGCTATCGTTTCCTGGCCATACGCGGGGTTCGTATTTCCCATCCCCAGAGCCATGACTCGTCGTCATGATGCAACATGGCACAGACTGTCACTGGCAGGCGGCCGTCTTTCACCGGCAATGGTCTCTAGCATGATGTCGTCTGTCTGGGGGGCTGACGTCGACATGTCGCACCCGGCACGGAAGTGCCGAGAAAAGGCGGCCGGTGGCGGGTCCCAAGAAGAACGGCGCCAGCGAAAGGGGGGGGGGGACAGACAGACGCAGTAGTCTCTCATTTCGAACCCCTTCACCCCAGACACGGGCAGAAGAGAATAAGCTTCTCCGGGCGCGTCCTGGGGCGCCCACAGCGCCCACAGCCGCCAATCGTGCTGATCGCCATTTGGCACAGAATTGACTTTGCCCTTAGCACGCGCTGGCTTTGTTCTCGCCCGGTCTCGTGTCATTGGAGAAGAAGGGGAGATCGGCCCGCGCTTGTCGCACCACGGATGAGACGGCACGTCAGCCGTGTCAGGCTCCGCGCCCGGCATGCCAAGCCGGCGCTGGGCCTTTGCCCCTTCATCGGAGTCCCGCATTGAGCCCGAGTCAGGCACTATCACCTCCACGGATGCCCCGGCCCCCTTAGCGGGGAGACGCGGGGAATAAACGGGACCTATGTTTGGAAAGGCATACTACGGACGAACGAGGTACGGAAAAGCCCGGGGGATGTACAGAGAGGCCTACCTTCGATACGTCCCGAGTATGCGGGAGAGCTGTGTTGCCGTTCCCGATCCTGATTCGCGCGCGGACATGCGACGAGCGTCTGCCAGACGGCAGCGAGGCCTTGCGCTGGCAATGGGCTACTGGGGTATCACCGCCCTTAATCGGCTTGTCCTATAGCTTGTCCAGTCGATTCCCCGGAACTTTCCTGAACTAGAACTTTGTGCAACGAATATCGTGGTCGAATTATTGTCTAGCGCCGACCACCCTTGAACGAGATCCCGCGACGCGCCATCTTGATGCACACGTGTCACCCATGCAAGCTGAAAAAAAGTGCTTCTAGTGCTCTGTTCCCCGGCACTGTCATGGCCAGGCAGTGAAAGTCGCGTCTCGGAGATGATCGCGTCGTCACGGGCATGGCTCCGTTCGGTTCTCGTGAACTAGAGACTTTTCGGATGCACCTCAGTTGCATGTTGAGAGTAAGAACATGTCATAAGCTGCGTGATGAGAGACTGGTCAGGATGCGCCGGAAGGTTTGGTCAGTCAAAGACAAGCCTCCAGCGTACCCTGTCCCCGCCGGATCAGTGTTTTGACGGCAAGAGAGGAGTCTACGTGGTCCCATTTTCTGAGAAGGCAGAAGCGCCCCCCCCCCCCCCCCGGGGTCCTATGACAGGGATGAAAGCGTAATGTTTCGCTGCCTATGAGGTGTGTCATCATTCATGTGTTAAGATTAGTAAAATCACAACCCAGACGGCGCTTGAGAATGTTCCCCGGACCCATAATCTTCGTGGAAGCCACAGTGAAACTACAATCCTGGCTCCGGCCGGTTGCATCAATGCAACAAATAGGACACACATTCGAATCCACATTTTCCAGGCCAGGTGAGTCCCGTGACGAGGTGACTACTGGTACGCTCGCATGGCGTCCTCGTAGCCAGTCCCGCCCTTGAGGTCCTGCTCAAAAGACCGCTGCACTTCTAGCACGTCCTTGATATGCAGCATGCTGAGCGCCTCCTTCTTGTTCGTCGCCAGGGCCTGTGCCGTGCGGATCGTATTCTTGATCTGGCGTCCGTTGAGGTCGAATTTGGTCAAGTAATCAAAGTCTTCCTCGGTGAAAGCAGTCGCTGCGACTTTATCGATGGTACGTGCACGCTCAATAAATATCTGGAAGATGGCGCGCTTTGCCTTCACGGAGAGCTTGTCATACCGAAGAGCAACGTGAATGCGCGACTGGAATGCATCATCGAATGTCTACGGCCGTCAGTCATGAGAGGGAAGAACCACGAGACCAATCGACGTACCTCGACACGGTTTGTCGTGAGAAACAAAATGCCCTGGAAATACTCGAGTTGACGGAGGAAGATGCTGACAAGGGCGTTGCGATGGATGTCGTGCATATTGCGCTTCTCCAGGAAAACGTCGGCTTCGTCCAGCAACAGAATCGCACCCCAGGCGTGGCAAATATCGAGGATTTTCTGAAGCTCAGTTTCCAGGAACCGCGAGTCGGTACCTAATTCGCCAGCTGACACCATATATAGCGGGCATTTCAGAAGCTCGCTGATGCCCTCGGCAGTCAGGGTCTTGCCAGTGCCAGGAGGTCCATGAAGAACAGCTACGGAGCGTCAGCAAACTTACATGTCGCATCAAGAGAAGGAGAGGAGTGACAGGCGCGTACCGACGAGACCCTTTCCCTTTCCCTGAATGACGTCGTCAATGCTTTCAACACCATGATACCTGTGCGTCTCTACAAGAGCCTTGACGATCGCCTTGGGCTTTTCTTGCAGCACGAGCGACTCGTACGCCTCTTCGTTCCACTTGATGTCTTTCACACCAGAGACGCTGAACTCGAGCCACATCTTCTCCCCAAAGGAGAACCCCAGAACGACGGGCGAAGCAAGGAGATATTGCTCGTCAGAGAATTCAAGCTTGGCGTCGCTGGCTGTCGCGTCCGTCATCTGACCTGGCTTGCTCTCGACGACGTCAAGTTGTCGAATAGTGGGCTGCTCTTCCACCAGTTCCTTGGGGACTCGCATGATGCGTAATTGACCGTTCTGATCTTTGTAGACCTTTTTGACATATTCGTCCGTTTTGCCACTGTCCGAATCATTGGCACTGTCCTTTTCACCTTTGTCTGACTCAGTTTCAGAAACGCAGCCACAGCCGGACTCTGCGTCTTCGTCGTCAGACTCAGACTCAGACACGAGGTCATGATCCTTGACCCGCACCATCGGGACTGGATAGTTGGGGTTGCAGCGACGGTGAATCGATGGGTCGACCATTATTCGGCCATTGACGTTGATCTTGATGGTGTTCTTCTTCTTCTTGTAGTAGGCCATTCCCTCGTGGCACTTGTATTGAACACCGCCGAGCTGGACAAACTTCTTGCCGCGCGAGATGAGGTGCTCTCGGACCTTTGGCTCGTTCTTGTGGTACTGCAGGGGATAACAATTGAGGCTTGTGATCTTGCGAGCCCCGCGAAAGTCGCTGACCTCCTCTGCGAAACTCCCGTAGCCAAATTGCTTGCCGTCATACTCAAAATACTGCAAAGCGTGAGCGACAATGCATGACCGCAGGCCTGAGGTATGAGATGTGGAGGCTTACCTTGCCGTCGATGTAGTAAAAGTCACCCTTGACGAAGCTGGAGTGTTTCTCAGCAGCCTCTACCTTGAAGACACGGGGTTCATCCTCCGAGCCATACGTCGCAGTGTACGCGAGGGTGTTGGGCTTCCACAGTGCCCAAAGAAGTTCAAAAGTAATCAGACCATTCTCCAGCATGGGGTAGAGGCTTTTCTTGACTTGCGCATAATCCTTGTCTAGATATGCCAACAGGACTTTGAGATGGCGTCTCTTTTCATTGTTATGCTTCTGGGCCTTCTGCCGGGCTCGCTTGGTTTCACCAAACGGCTCAGAATCTTTGAGTTCTTTGCTGTACGCGCGAAGATCGTCCAGGTAGCTGCAGAGGATTAGACAAGGCTGCAGCTGCAGCGTACGAGTACAGGAAACCTACAGGAATAGGAGGTTGGGATCAAGACGTGGGGTATTGTCCACCAAGCTGACACCCTTGATGTTACCAATGACGTCCTGGAGACACTCCCGGAGAAGTTTGCTCTTGACATCGACTGTGGTTGACTTGTACTTGCCCTCAAAGTCGAACACACGTCGAATCTGCAGCACAAAGGCATCATACTGAGAATCAGAGCTTCCCTCGGCAGTGGACTGAAGCTTGAAGTTGTGTATGGTGGTATCCCAAACCTGATCGACGCGTTTGTACTCAAGGCGAGTCGGGACACCTGATTCAGTCTTGTGGGGATGTTTCTTTTTGTCGTCGGCGCCCCCCGGGCCCGAGGGCTTGGTAGCCAACGGAAATTTGGTTGTGCGATTGGCTGAGCCGCGACCTGGAGGATGCAGATTCCCAAGAGGAGGGCCGCCAGTCGGTACTGGTGGGTTGAAGAACGCCTGTCCAGATACAACATTGCCGTAACCTGAAGGCGCCGGGAGGCTTCCTTGCGTTGGACGAGATTGGAGGGCCAGGACCTGACTGACAGCGGCCGTGATGATTTGGAGTTGGCCAGCTGTGAGTTCTTGGGGAACCGCATCGTCATCACCACCATCGTCGTCGTCGTCGTCTAGATTGCCGTTGTTGGGTTTGGCATCGGAGTCGGATCCGGCCGCACTGACATCGGAGCCCGAGGCTTCAACCTTAGTTTTGCCTTGGGCCTTCTTAGCGGCCTTCTTGGCCCTCTTTGCAAACCGCTTCCTAGCGTTGTCATCGCGAATGTCTCTGCGCGCTCGCGCCTTGTGGGAGGTCAAGTCGTCAGAGCTACTTGTCTCATCGTCCAAAGTCGATGAATCTTCGACAGATGGGTCATCGTCCGAGTCGCTGGACGAAGAAGTGTCTTCAAGAACTGATGTTTGTTTCCCTCTCTTCTTTGTCTTCTTCTTGTGTTTCTTGGAGCATCTATTCGCATCCTTCTTCTGCTTGCCGGTCGTGTTTTTCTTGTCCTGGGCTGGTACAGCGTCGCTCTTGTGGTCGGCCTTGAGCTGTGGGTGGGGCGTCGAGCCTGGTGTCACCGTTTCGGTGGTGCTGGAGGGGCCAGCCACGTCGAGACTGCTTATTGGCATTGCTTCCTGGGTATCCATGCTGGCGACTGGGATCTAGAAAGCACGCCGCTCAAGTCAGGCAAAAAGGACTGAGGGAGTGACACAAGTGTACGAGACATGTCCTTACAGAGGAGGGAGGTAAACTAGGTGGCTACCTCGGCAGGTATGCAGGTTGAAGGTTGGGTTACACGCGAGGGTACGATGGGTCTTGGTGCGAGGAGTAGATGAAAGACAATGGATTTGAATTAGCAGTCAGAAGTTGAGGCTGCACCGGTCCTTCGTCCCTTCCTTTATAGCTGCGGCGACTGCCAGGGTGAAGGTGTGTCACCAGGCAGGAACAACGAGCCAACAGCGCGGGCGCGGCAGGAGCTGTGAGCCAACGGTGAGGACTTGTACCTACCTAGGTACCTACCTACCTTCTACCTAGGTCGGTAGGCAGCAAAGAGGTCGCATCTGCAGCCCGCCCCATTTCTGTGTTGCTGCCGGGCATTGAAGCATTGTCCAGGTCGGAGCAGAACCGTGGTGGTGTGAAGCGAGATGGTCGACCAACCTGCAGCATTTGGCCAGGCTCTGTGAGTCTCACTCTGCGAGGGTTGTCGGTCCCTCCAATGATATGGGCGGATGGGGGCGACGATCGAAGCATGTCGACATGGCATGCTGATTGCTGCCTGCCTGCAGCCTGATCCGACCACTCGAGCGACCTTTGAAGTCACCCAACGCCTGCGAAGCATCGTCCATCATCTAGGCAATGTAGGCAGTTAGGCAGGTAGGCAGACAGAGTACCCCACCTTGCTCTGCATCTGCGACAGTTCAGTCCGCCTTACCGAGATCTAGATTTGTTGGCCCCGCTGTTGGGGCCGCCTGGGCGCGACCATTCACTGAGGTGAATCACGGAATGGCAAGGCAGAGGCTACGTCGGGGATGGATGGCACGCACTCGAGGAAAGTATTCTGCGGTAGTACCATCTCTGGCCCAAGATTGTGCCGAGGAGTAGGCGTCGCGGATTGATGGAGTGCTTGCGTAGACAAGAATGTCTGGCCTGTGATGGCCGAACCCGTGGTTTGCTCAGTTCATTCCACGTTATGCCCAGCACCAAACTAATGCGGGACGCCTCACAAACCGAGTGGCTCTCAGTCACCACGACCTGTGAGTGTCCTGTCTTATGCATGATAGTCTGATTCTGGCTTCGATCGTATTCTTATTCTCGATTCGATCCTCCATGGCTCCTCATCGTCCATGTCTTTCGGTTTCGCATGAGATCCATATCGACTGTTTCCGCTGTATCGCTGTATGGCTGCATCGCTGCATCATCGCATCAAGACGCGTGTGCAGCGATGCGGCGCCGTGTGATGGAGCTGTAGCTGATTGCATTTGGCATCACACCAGTGTTACAATCCTCTGGGGTCCCCCCCAGCGAGATGAGACGAGCGTGGGAGACGGAAGCATCGCCCACACGACCATGACGACTGCAGGCTCAGCACGTCGTTCATTCAGGGTCTCGTGTGAATTAGGTAGTTGCAGTATCGAAGTGAGATCTGTGACACGACAGCCAACTGAGACATGCGGTAGAACGATGTGAAGGAGAGCGTATTTGGGTGAGATGAATATTGCCTTGAGGCTGCAGCAGCGAACATGACGGACGACATTGGGGCTGGGTTAGGGTAGGATGAACGCCTTCAGGTCCAGTCTGGCGTCAGACATGACCATGCCACTGCAACGTTTGCTCCCCAAGCGTGCACCGACGGTACCATTTGATGCCTCCTTTCGTGCACAGACAGTGCCATTCGATGCTTCATTTTCTCCATTCAGGATGCATCCTGCTCTTCTCCATTCATGCTCTTATCTCTTGATAATTTTCAGACCTTCAATTGTTGATCTGGTCCATTACATGCGAGACATGGGGGGCAAATTCGGCTGGTATAAACCTACTAACGTTGCTGGAAGAGACGCCATGATCGGTTGGTGCACACGAGGTGTCG